ATAGGACACGGGGAACTACTATAAGAGCAAAAGATAGTACAACTCTTAGAATGTGTCTGTGATGTCATAATTAGTAGCTGAAATATTTGTAAAAGTCAGTTGCTATGATTTTGATGTGTTCCCCAAAAGCTTATACGTTAAAGGATTGATTGCCATCCTGTGATGATATGGAGAGGTAGAGGAACCCTTTTTCTAATTTATTTATTTATTATTTATTGTGCTGGGGATGGAACTCAGGGCCTCACAGATGCTACACACATACTCCACCTCTGAGCTATAGTCTAACTCTATAATCTTTAAGAAGTGGAACTTAGTGGTAGGAATTAGGTCATTGGGGGTGTGTGCCCTTGAAGGAGATATTGAGACCCTGGTCCTTTGTCGCTCTCTTTGCTTCCTGGCCACCATGAAGTGAATAACCTCCTCTGCTATGTTGTCCTACTATGATTTACTAGGTTGCTACAGGCTTAAAGCCAACAAGCGAAACAACTATGAACTGGAACCTCTGAGACCATGAACTAAACAAAACCTTTCCCTTTTTAAAGTTTATTATCTCAGGTGTTTTGTCACAGTGACAGATAGCTGTCAGACATCTGTCAACCAATAGATTTCTTTATTTTCATGTTGCAAAATACCTCTTTAAGCTGGGAGTGCTGCAACACACATGAAATTCCAGCACACTGGAGGCCGAGGCAGGAGCATTGCCTTGAGTTTGAGGCTAGCCTGGGCTACATAGTGAGTTCAAGACTAGCCTGAACTACATAGAAAGACCCTATCTCAAAAGGAAAAAAAAAGCTTTATTAGTGAATTAATTGATGAATTTTCCTGCTATTATGCTGATTAAGCATAAATGAACATATGTACGATCATATAGTTCATGGACATATACGTACACTCATTGAGTTCAGTAAGATAAAGCATTTTTACATTAGGGTGGATGTTTTGAAACTTCATTTCTGCTTTAATTGAACTAGAGGTTTAATTTCCATGTTTAAAAAAAGTCCCATTTGCAAAGACTTTGTTTCAATTTTTCATTTTCTCATATTAATTCCATTCCCTTCTGTAAATAGGGAGGAGTGGAGGGGTTGAAGAGAGGGCAGGGGAATGGGGAAAAATAAGAACCAAGACAGATTATGTAAAGGTACAAATTTCCAATGATAAATGTCATTGTATTGTATACCTAAAACATATCAATAACACTAATTTTTAAAAAAGAGTTCTTCAAAGCAAGCCAGAGTATAATTCTGAGCAACACAATAAAGCCTTCTGCACTATAAATCTGGTAGATTTTCTCTAACTCACTTTAAAAGAAAATGATTGGAGATAGATTTTCTCTAACTCACTTGAGAAGAATATGATTAGAGATGTAAGCATCAGCCTGGTGTAGCAATTTAAGTTTATACTACCCCTTGTATTCACATACGTGGCCTATTATCTATACTAGAGCAACAGTACCTCCCCATTTCTTCCAAGGGTACTTGTCTGGATGCCCACACATGTGCTACCCAGAAATGCAGAGAGGTTAATATCACATGAGGAAGGAATTTGACTAATGAGATGGGAGCTAGGCCAATGAATTGTTCCTCCTTTTTTCCCCTACGTGGGTTTTATAGAGATGTGGTAGTTTCATATGGTCTGTCATGAGAGATTGAGAAATTAGCTTTCCATGAAGCAGATTACAACCAACTCAGACTCAGTGATATACCTCCTCTTTTTTCCTCCTCTCCCTGCTATATCCTTTTCTTCACTCCTTCTTTCCTGGATTGCACATTAACTTTTGCTTCTGGCTCTATTTTCTAAGAAACCTAAGCTAAGACTTCAAGGTATGGCAATGAAGAAGTCTGGAATAAAGTCCTAATTTCACTGAAAATTAGATTGTAATGGCATCATGTTGGGAAGTAAGACATCTAATATATGCCCGCAATTATTGCTGAATTCCTAAAAAAGGAACACATCTATTTCAACTCCGAGGCCACAGGTAAAGTGGAGTTAGGGAAAAGACAATTTACCATTTGAAGCTTGTTACTCCAGAATGGTTTATAATGTGCTACAAATTCTATATATGAATCTAGAACATGGGCTTTGGAGTCAGACAACCAAGGTTCAAACCTTCACTCTACAATTTATAATTGTTACTTTTGGAAAGCTATTTAACCTCTCTGTGCTTCAATTTTCTCATCTGTAAGACAGGGAAGGAAATAGTAGCTACATCACATTGTGAGGACTGAATAAGATGAATATAGGCAATATGCTAAAAGTACTGCTTAACACATAGAAAGCACTATGCAAATGTTCCCTGTATTTTTTATAGCTATTGTGATGAGAGAAGATGGGCTGGAACCCAAGGGAAACTCTTGGCTAATGTCATATGAAATGTATTAAGGAATTGATATGTGGAAAGCAGTAGAGTTAGGGGGTAACAGATGACTTAACTGCAAGAAAATGCCAAGCAGGAAATACCCTCTAAATATTTCTATTTATATTGTACATGACACAACGTAGAAAAAATAATGGAAACAGAGCCACTCTGCAGGATTTAGAGTTCTTTTGTATATATTTTAAATATACATGTGCAATACATTAAAATATATAGATGTGTGAATATATATTTACATATATATATGTTTATATATGTATGAAATCACAGAGGGGATACATAAGCAAACTCACTCACACATCCATGCGCATACCCCAACAGGACCCATCTATACGTAAACCAGATGCAGTCCATATCAGGCCAACTTGGACACAAGTGAAAGCCCTGACTCAGCAGCATATTGCAAATTGCAGTTGCACTCGAGTAACCCTTCAGTTTCTTCCACCAAGTGTAAGGCCATTTAGAAATACACCGAGAAGAGCTCCTCCAGGTGTATGAAAGAGCCCAGGAACCCTCTGGCAGTGGACAATTTGCCTGAGTAAGGACTGCAAGATTGGAATATCAAGGCGTTGTCAAGAAAGAGGGACTTATTTGGGTCCTGAAACTAATAAGCAACATCCACATGATAACTTTAACTCCGGAACAATGCATTAGTGTCAGAGAATCCTTAGATATCTGAGTTCTAAGCAAATTTTAGCCAGAAACAGAGAGAAGTGTATGTTGCTACTCATCATCATTTAGCTTGACCCAGAAGACTGAGCACAATTTTTAGGGGTAGAAAGGTTTAAGGTATAATCAGGCAGACTTGTAAGATAAAAAACAAGGTACTTAAAATTGAAGAATCTAAAAGCAACATAAGAGGTTACAGGTATTGGTTTGGGTTTATAACTGTTCCAAGAAGCCTAATCTTACGTATGGCACCATTTGCAGCAATATCATTAACATTATTAATAATCATCATAACATATTTATATATACAAAAATAGAGCAAAGCAATTCTAGAAGAGGAAGGGTAAGTGAAGATGTGAGGCTGTGTGCAAGCCAAATGTCAATACACTTCAGGAATATTCAGAACCAATAAAGATTAAGTGGCACATATTTATGTAGAATATATCCAACAAAGGGACAAGGATGTCCCTCCTTTCCCCCCTTGTGTATGACTGTACACTTTTTCTCACCTCTCCACCCTGCAACACACATCCATGCATACTTTAAAAGAGATGATATATCAAGTTAGAGTCTGGAAGTCTTAAACTAAGTTGGAGCACCTTGATTTCAAGCAAGTGCCCTCAATCTCCTTGGTGAATTTAGGATTCACTTACAGAGGAAAACTGTATAATTCTTGTGTCTTTTAGTAGCAGTCTTTAGGAGTCTACCATCACCACTGCAGCCTTTTCCCACTGAAAGGGGTTGCAGCACAGGCTTTCTGTATTTTTAAAGAGAGAAATCACTTCTCTATGTTATACATCTTTCATCTCAGTTTTTCACTGTTGCTGAAATCTAGGTTCTCAGGCAGCTGCCATTGCAGACAAAGCCAGGAGCAAGGACAGTGTGTGCAGCAAAGAGTAGATGCAATGGCGAAGATACAGCTTGGTTAGGGCTTCTTTTCCATACTTGAGCTTCTACAAGGTGACTGAGCCAAAGGTGATATCCACTGGGGGCCTCCTCAACACCTGATAGTTAATTAGCTACCCACCATGCACTGCAGAAAGACCGCCTCAGTGACTTGGCATGTTTCCTGAAAAGTAATTGGAAGGGAATGGCTTTCTATCATTGTTAATAAGAGTCCTAGGAAAAAGCCCCGTGACTCAATGTGGTGCAGGGGAGAAAATATTGAACTAGTCAGAAAACCCGTCTTCTAGTCTCAATTCTACTATTAATTCAGAGTGGCTTTAGGCAAGTCCCTTCCTATGTCCAGGCCTCAGTTTTCCCATCTGTAAAATAAGGACAATGAACTAGATTAACGGTTAAGATTCCTTCCAGCTCTAAAGTTTTATGACTTTTTATGTCCATTATTAAGGCCTGAGCCATGCAGTCTCAGGGCAGTTAGCTTCTAAGAGAGAACATATCTCTGTAATATCCTTTGCTTTGTTCATTTAGCTATAAAGCACGTCTGCCTTTGGCACTTGGGTCAGACATACAAAGTTATGAGCATCCTGATTTACTATCCTATTCAGCATGCTAGTGGAATCTGTCAGTACTATATGCTGATTATTGGGAAAGAGAAAAATTCCAACTCATTAAATCTGGAAATGTAAGGTAACTCAACTTCATATGCTCACATACAAGGGAGTGTGGTTGTGAATGCACACACACAGCGGGATACAGACTATTGCTAGTGATCAGTCAATTACAGTAATCCATTTCCCTTAATAAAAATTAGAAAATAGTATAGCATAGCAAAGTTTGGCATCTAAGGAAACACCTATGGAAAAAACAGCACTTTTGGACATGTTAGAGAGAGAAAGGACAGATAGAGAGACAGAAATACAGATCAAAAGATAACATAGGCAAAGAGAGGATTAATCTAAAAGACAAGGAAGAATAGAAAGGAAAGAAAAGAGAAAAAGTAAAAATAGAGAAGCTAAGAATAAAGAGGGAAGGAAAATAGAACAGGATAACAAAAGAAGAGCAAGAGGGAGAAAAAGACAAAAGGAATAGAGAAAATAAGAGCAAAAAACAGGGAGAGGGGGGTCGTATTCCCTGGAAGGCTGAACACTTTTCCACATGTACCTGTGAAAACCATCTTAGAAGAAAGCTTCCAAAGGCACTGTGGAAAGCAGAGTAACAATCTGAGCCTGCACCGAGAGGCATCGCAGTGGAAAGACCCTAAACCTCCTCGTTGCTGGCTCTGTCAGTCCTCAGTGTCCAAACCTCATGCCCATACACAGTATCACCTGAATTTTCCAGGACAGCCATAAGGGCTGAGCCGGTGGGGTAAAAAGGTTGAAGAGGAGTGGAATAGATACTGTGAAAAAGAACAAGGCATCCTGCACCAGGATGTACTTTGCCATTCCCCTGACACTGCAGGAACAAAAGAGGTGAGGCCCTAACTTTGGCTAGTTTATTACTCCTCCCCCTCTCCAAAGATGAGGCCAATGCTTTCTTCACTGATGGGGAACGGAAGGAGAAAGCTCTGGATCCATCTTGGAGGAAGGTCATACAGACTTTTCCTGGGCCTTGGGGAAGGGTGCACTACCAGTAGAGATTTTTCTGCACACAGTGTTGGTGTGCCTCTTACAGCGGCAGCCTGGTCGCCGGAGGCTATCATAGCCCTGCTGGCACAGATGGAGGCATCCACGGGTAGGCAGGTAGCAGCACAGGCAGGGTAAGAAGAGGGAGATCAGGCTCATGGCTGCCCAGCGGACGAAGCAAGAGCTAGGCCCACAGGAGCAAGGCTCATCAGCGCAGTTGTCTTCATCATCGGTGGAGCAGTGGTAGAAGAGGCCTTTGACACAGCAGAGGCAAGTGCCATAATCGAGGAGGCTCTCAGCAGAGCAAAGGCAACGCTGGTTGCACAGCCAGCAGGAGGGGAGAGGGCGAGCTGCTGTGCAGGGGACACATTTGCAGCGCCCACACTCCTCGCAGATGAAGAGGTGCTCACTGGGGTGCCCTTCAGATTGCTCAACTTCTCCCTTCAGAGCACCATCAGCCTTTGAGTGGGCCCCTGCTCCAGGCTGGGTTCGGATGATAGACTGGCCTGAAGGTGAGGGTGTAATGCTGGCCAAGAGCCTTTGATCAGAGGCAGTGGTGCTATGGGACATTGAGCTGGCAATGCTAGATTGGCTCAGATGCTGAGGCAAGGGCTGCAATTGATGGCACTGGCTGAGACTGCGGGGGAGAGCAGTAGGCATGGTAGCCAGGGACCAATCAGATTTGTGGGTTTGCACAATAAGGGAAGGACTAGAGAGGGCCTGTTTACAGGGGGGTGGAGGCCGTTCCACATAATCATTGCTAGCATGAGTAGAGCGCAGCTGCTCAATAGGCAGGATTTGTTGGAAATCATCTACCATTGTGGCATCCATTTTGCCTTGATTTTTGAGCGCTGAGTGGTTTTGGGTCAGAGTGGCACTTATGGTGATAAAGAGGAGCCCTTGTAGTTACATGGACCTCAGGGCACATCAGAAAATCCTAGGAGAGAAGAAATAGAAACAATAAATGAGAACACATGGCATAAGTGCTGTTCAGGGAACCAACAAAGGTCAGGTCCTATTAGTACGACTACCTTTAATCACTTTATAGTAGCATTCATGCTGTATCTAGCAGGTACAATTCATGCTGCATTCGTGCTTATTTTGTAATTAACTCTATCTACTTCTTTACACATAAGTCTGGTCAACCCATCCAGGTTATAAATCAGGCTGGGAGCAAATATTAAATCAGTTAGTCTTTTTGTATTCCATCATATGAGTAGGTTCACAGGAATGGTTAGCTCCGGGTTTTTGTAAGAGAGAAATATAAACCTTGAGCATCAGAATTCTAATAAAAATGGAAGCAAATGTTAAATGCAAAAAGCACTTCCTAAAATAGTCCCAAAGCAAAAGAGAACACCTCAAAATTCTCCCATGAGAAATTGCTCATATATGTATGTGTGTGTGTATACAATAAAAAATTCTCATTTCAGTGAAATTCATGAAAAGTAGAAAGCACACATGAGAAAAGATATTGCTTGTTTCAGTGCATGTAGGCATGCAAGCAAGATACAATAATGACAAAGATATGGCATAGAAACAGATGCGGGAATTAGGCTATTAGTAGAGTAACAGAAAAACCCTTCTCAAGAGTGAAGGAAGCCAACACTCTATCATTGTGGAGTTCTCTTCACCTTACATCTGCTTTAATTTATCGGGGAGGCAATTCTTTTTAAATGACACAGTGGCTCCAAAGTCAAAATTCTTTTAGATACAGGAGTAATACTGGTGTCGGAACTATAGACAAGTGTAGAAAGCAAGTCCTGAATTATTTTGAATATCACCTGTAATTGTGGGTATTACTACCTTAGTCAACTCCATAATGATATTTACCTAGATGATTCTGCTTGAGCTACTTTTCTTTAACTTTACCTTATACTAAAAAAACCCGAATTTTATAAAAAGTAACAATATTCTTATGCTATCTTTCAGCTTAGTTAAATTTCAAGAAAGCATATACTCATATGTCATTGTATTCCAAAGAGTTGGGTAGTCATTCTCTTAAGGAATCTGATCAAAGCTAGAAATGATAATAGTGATCAAAAGGAAAGTATTGTATAAGTAGTAGATTGGGGCTGCAGATGCAGCTTAGTGGTGGAGTATATACTTAGCATCCCCAGTACCACAAAAACAAAAACAAATAACAGACTTCTGTATCATACCACCTAGAAGATTGAGGAGCAAAAAGTTTGCACCTAAATACAAATCCAAGGGACAACATGAAAGTATCAGGCCTTAGGAAACAATGGCGAAATTAAGTATATATTTAAAATCTTTCAGGTTTTAGACTTTCTCAAAATAGATCAATTACTCATACTAATATGGAATGGATAGCTTGAATGTGTAATACAAATGAATAGAAAATAGTTCCTGATTAGCTTTCCCTAAGCAAGCAAACATGACGCTGAATGGGACCAAATCAATAATAAGAAAAATAATGATATAGTTCATAAAGGACTCTGGTTAGTAATGACCAGATTTAGGTAACTTTTGAAGCTATATCCTCCTACAATCCTGATTAGTTAAGTATACAACAGTTAAGTTTTGAAAAGATTTAATTTGGTTAACAATAACATATTTGGCACATCTCATCAAAAAATCAGTGCAACAAAAATCTCACTTAGCTAGTTTTTGTTTTGGTGTTAAATGAATTCAGAATAAAACAATGCAGATAAACACTATGGAGACTCCAAGACTTAACTATCTATGCTACCTTTGTCAAATCTTGTCCAATTGATTATTTTTATGGGGCCTTATTTTCATTTTTATATAATTATAGGAGTGGACTAGGTGATCCCCAAGGTGCTTGCCCTATCATTGACTATATTTCTATAACTATGCAATTTGATGAAAGAATTCTTTTCATCCACACCTTTTACATCTTCAACTCCTGGAGGGTATGTTGGGCAATGTGTACTTGGGTTTGGGGGAAATTCAAAAGCATAAATGTATGTCTTCTTCATTCACTTACACTCAAATCCCCTACAACCTCCCACCCCTACCTTTTCTATACCATTATAGATCCAGCACTGGAAAGGAACAGACAGTTTTCTTTTGGACGTCCAAATAAATAAGGACACATTGTTCAGCTTGCTTGGAAGGTATATGTGGATGTGGGAGGTTTGGACTGTGAAAGTCTTTTGACAAACTTTTGAGAAATTTATTTATGTCCCATCTATCAGCTAAAGACTGCGTGGAGTCATCCAAATCCTTTATACTGTAAGCACAATAATATATATGTTAGCTGCAGTTTAGATTCTTTTATTTACCAAAGGATACTAGATTCAACACATATTAGATATTTCAAGAAGCAATGATTCAAACGAAGTTAGTTATACAAGGTCTCAATGTTATAGGAGATAATCATGTGATATTTCAAAGACAGGATTCCAAGAATGTCACTAGGTACCTCAGGGATATACCCAAAAGGCTGAAAGCTAAGATTGGAAGAATCTAGGTCATAATACAAATGACTCAGAACCAATAATGAGAACCATGTTCAAAGGGGATTCTGTCTGGGGAGCAGAAGGGTACATGATGTTTAGGTTAAGAAGGAGTATTAGGATATGGATTAAATTTCCGCAAAACTAAGGAATTGAGTGGCTTGGTTGGATGATTAAAGCAAGCTCAGGGCATCAGTTTGGGATGATGAGGTACTTACTGTCTTGCATTCAGGTAAGGGGATTGACAGGATGAAATGAGAAGGTTTCTTCCTGCTCTTTACAATCTTTTAATAGAATGGATTCTGGGATCCAGTGTGGAAGATCTGCAATACAGTGGGCAGTGAGACCTAGGTAAAATCAGGGTGTTGAGTAGGTTTAAGTAAAAGGATTGGATGACAATGAATTATTTGCCATAGACCTGCTGAATCTGATCTGGCTAATAGGGATGAACTGAAATAGATACATACTGAAGTGTAAGGTAAGAGGAAAAATGTTGAGAAACAAATAGCCAACAGACCACTGCAGCACATAGACTAGATGAAAAACTAATACTCTGAATGCATGTTTATGATTCAGAAATCCACCCTCTAAAGAGTCATTTGTTGTAAGCAGCAACAGTTAAGAAACTAACTACTTTGGTCAATGCTAGGCTCTATTAAATGAGAATAAATGGATGTATGTATCATATATTAATAAATAGGAGTCAAGGTGATTACAAATCATTGCTGCATATTGATGGGATCTAGTGATTTTTGTCACGTAGTGCCTCTGCAGTAATGAATGATGCATTGTAAGCCCACTCCCATCTCAGTCTCTCTGGCCAGGTGCTCATAGCTTTCTCAACAGTGTTTCTGTATTCCTGAATTTGCTATGTTCAACCTAAATAGAACTTTCTTTTCTTATGCCAATTTAGGGACTAGAGAGTTAAATCCATTCCAAAAATGCTAATATTTGTTAATGAAAGAAAATGTACTTTCTCCCTAGAAGCTAAAATCTGCCACATTGACATCCTCTCTATAGCTCATCTATGCTAACACCTTGCATGGCTCTGATTTCTATGATAAATCTTATCTGGTACAATATGACTCAATGTTGATTTCAAAGAAGAAGGAGGAAGGGAAGACAGAGGGCTTGGCCCCTGTTTTCTCCCACTTTCATAGGTTCAATGCTGTTTTGTACCTTACTGTGTAAAGGCTCTGGGATATGTTACTTTTTCCTGTACTCTGCTCTTATATACACTCGTTCTCAGAATAACTGAAAGCAAACATAGGGGGAATTTCTGCTATGGCTTTATATGTTTTCTTAGTTCTACTGTTCCAAAGTCTGCTCTCTAAAAATCCCTCTCTGTGCAAAAGCATTTGCATCTCTATCAAAGCACACCCCCCCTTACAAATACCAAGTTGTATATAGTTTACATTACTAACCTCTCTGCCACTGACTGGGCCTCCCTCATACCGCATACATCTTGCTGGAGCGGCCAGGTTCTCACCACATTTAACTCTTAACTTGTCACTTTGCTACCTTAGTCCTATTCATTAGTTTAATAGTTTCATTAAGACTCGTAGCAGTTTATTTCAAACCAGGAAGTCCTGCAGTTTGAAGACCTTACATTACTAAAGATATGTTATAGTGATTAGTGATGCAGGGAAAATTGTAATATCAAATTTATTTACATATTTCTAATCCTGAGGAAAATGGTAAGAAGTTGGTTGTTCATTTAAGAAGCTGGAATCGATCTATTCTTTTAACCTTAAATTCTCTTATAAGACACAGAAACATAAGTTGCAGTCCTAATGCTAGTTTTATTTTGCTGTGTGGCTCTAAGAAAATGACCTGTTCCAGGCCTCAGTTTCTCTATCAACAAAATGAAGGGTATGGAAGAAGGAGTTTCTTCAGCCCTTTCTTGTCCAGGTGCTCTAAATTTTATGCTGGATTTGTTGGCTGCATATCTTAGTCTCAAATTCTTTCATGAATAATTAGTCTCCTTTCCTTTAGGTCCTTCCTCACCACTCAACTCTTCAAATCCAAGTAAACACCTCCAAGTCCAGGTCTCTCAGATCACTCTCTAGACTGTATTGCACAGCTAGAGAAACATAAAAACAGAACATAAAGAGTCAAAATGTATAGAATGGTACAATCAAGTCTCAGTATATGTGTCAGGCAAAGATAACAAATCTAATACCTCACTGTGGATAAACTGCTAGCCTGTGCCTTATTTGTATTTATGTATGCAGCTGACTTGTTGGGAGCACGATTTAACACCTGATATACTGAAATTCACGTGATAACGCATCACATCGCATTATATTCTGTGAGGCTTTGACATGCACAGAAAAGCAACAATACTGTACCTTACATTTTAAAATAGATTTTCTGTTTAAGAGTTCAATGTCTGTTTTCTATTCATCCAATTTGGTTTGCAGCATGCAGAGCTGAGTGATAATTATAAAATGTGTGTGCAGGAGTATCCTATAAACCATTACCCTAGGTCCTATCAGTACCTACTGGCTAACCAGACATGCTCACAGGTTCTCACTTTTGACAAAATTCCCATCTGCTACGCACACACATACATGTGGCCACATACCCAAGGCATGGATCCCGAGATTTCTAAATCGTTGCTCTGACTCAATTTAAGGGGGGGGGGTTATGCCGTGTCAGCTTGCGCCATTTCCACTCAGGGCAAGGTGATGTGATGAAATCTGAACGATGCACAGCCCAGAATTGTGAGCCAATAGCAGTCTAGCCCCACACTGACAGGGTGCCCGCTGGGCAGCAGACTAGCCTCAGCAGGGGCTCTTCCTCCATCCTCAGCTTGGGTGGTTAAGCTGCGTTATGAGGGGCCTTAGGGGAGCACCAATGCATTTAAAGGTCAATCGGTTGAACATCAAATACATTAAATTGACATTTGGCTTTAAAAGGATCATTTTAAAGTACTATCTTGATTTATAAATTTCCAATATGGATAATTTTCTACAGAAGCTGATTCATTTAAATCTTATTTAGAGGGTTTTCATTTTATTTTACCCACGCGCTTGCGCTTGCGCGCGCACACACACACACACACACGCACACACATACGCGCGCGCGCACACACACACACACACACACACACACACACACAACTGCACAGGATGGCTGGAATGAATGGCAATCTGTGCATTGCATAGAAGGAATTCCGGAGTCTGTAAGAGCTAATCTCTGGCTTACCTTGAGAAAAGGGTTTATCCATGCTGAGAATAGCAGAACTAATGCTTCATCTGGCTCAAAGAACCTCTTCTGAATCTTTAGGTTTCTCCAGCTCTTTTCGGAAAGTCTGAATGAAAACTGGCAGTGAAGCCAGAAACAGTTCTGTCTTGGTCCTTCCGACACAGCAGAAAAAAACAGAAACAGAAAAAAAGAAAAAACCCGAAAACATAACAACAACGACAAAAAAAAGGAGGTGGTGATGGGAGAATCAAACCTGTAGTAGCAGATACTTTGTACAGATTTTACACGGAGCTCTGAATCTTGATGCACGCATTCCCCAAAGGAAGCTCAGCAGGGTAAGTTGTTCACCTCCTCTTTCTCCTCCTCCTCTTCGTTCTCCTCCTCCCTCTCCTCTTTCTCCTCCCCC